CAGGACTAGTATTTGGTCCTTATAGCCAAGTATTATCCTTGCTGATCCCTGTTCTATGTGCTTGAAGGGAATGGTACAAGGGGAGAACAGGGAAGATTAGTGGTACCATCTGAACTGATTCCAGGAACCATCCTGTCAGTGCATGTAAATGTAAGTCAGAGATGATGGGGACAATTCATTCAGCATTGTTTATAACTGTTCTCTTGGAGGGAAGGAGGGGGCAGGGTGTTCTCTTGCTGCCTTAGCATAATTGGGAACTGGAACATGAAATGATCCTGGAAAAATCAGCCAAAATTCCCATGTGCCTAATCCTGACAAGTTTCTTCCCCATTGCCCTGGGAGGAGGGAGCAATGGGACTTACTTAGCACTTTTCCTTTGCTGCTCAAATAAGACTTTGATTTTTTGTTCATTCTTGCAGTGCATCAGTTTATATGTACGTGGCCTTCTCTCCATCAGAGCCAAATGTCCCATGTAATTCAATTCCCTATAAGCTTGCAAGATGAAATACCAAATCAGAGATGCACTTTGAATGTCTTCTTTATTATAGCACTTATAACAGCTTTCTCAAAATTGCAGTTTTGTAGGTCTAGCTTGATAAATTAATGTAAAAATTTAACTGTTTCTTATGTCAGTGTGTATTTAAAAAATTGTCAAGTGGATTGGATTTTTTTGTCCAGATAGTGAAAATACCATAAACTGTACCAAAAACCATAATTTAAAGGATAGTCAACATCCATAACTTATTTGAAATGCTTTATCATTCACTTCTACATTGGCAACACATAGGGGTGCATGCGGGTGCATGTGCATTGCCTGAGATTGGCCTTGCACCCCCTGGAAGTGCCAGTCGTGAACCAGAAGTGCTGGCAGAAGCATTTGCCAGTTTTGCTGCTGGTGGTTCTGGGCTTGCCCAGTTGGCAATCAGTCACTGGGGGTGCCCCCCAGACTCGGGAGGCACCAGTCACCCATGAACTTCTATTTTTAATTTGTGAAATACTTCAGTTCCAACTAGTAATGCCTGGGAACTGTTAGAGATAAGACCAAAGACATGTACCTTGTTCCTTTGAAGCCTACTTTTCAAACAGTGCAAAGCATTTCTTTCCTAGAACTCGGTGTTTATGAGAATACTGGCTGTTGCAGTAGTGTTAGAGGGCACATGAGAAGGAGGGATAAAAGAAGCAAGAGTAAGTTGCTTATTACAGTAACTAGATTTTGTCATTATGTTTAATGCATTAGGTATTTCCAAATACTCAAAGTTTCACAATATGTGAAAGTTAATATTTTTATCTCCTGGTACTTCTTCCTATGACCAACATGTGAGCCACTCTGGGCATGTCTGTACAAAATACTCTACTGCACAGCAGACTAACCTACTGTGCAGTAAAACACCACTATGTAACTGTGTTCAGCAGCTACTGCACAGTAAAATAGGTTAATGTGTGGTTTTCTACTACCAGGTAGCACACAGGTAGACAGCTGACTGGGACTAAATTGTTCCCAGTCAGCCTAGGAAATAGTGGGTGGGAGAACTGTCCCTTCCCCTGGGCAGCTGCCTGCTTCCCAGCACTCCTGCTCCGGATGACTGATCGGAGCTGGAGCTAGGATGAGGTGGGCAAAGTCAAGCCTGTGACTCAGATCTGGCTGGCAGTGGGCTCCATTACCCAGCAGTCCCTGCCCGCATGGCTGGGGCCTGTCTCCGTGGAGACCCCAGCCACTGCCCTATGGTATTACAAGATCGCGATGAAGACCGCCCCCAGCCACGCTGGCAGGGTGTGCAGCAGGGCAGGGCAGGGCAGGGCAGGGAAGGGGGTTGCTTCAGAGCTGCTGGGATCTTATGGTGGGGGCAGCCTGGGGCCTGGGCAGATCTGCAATCTGCTGCCTGCATGCTTTGGGCAGGGGTGTGCAGGCAGCAGATCGCAGCTCTGCCCCAGCTGCCTGCAGCAGTGACAGTGTGGTCCAGAGCCAGAGCAGAGCCACAGTCTGCTGCCTGCATATCCCTGCCCGAAGCACGTAGGCAGCAGATCACAGCTCTACTCTGGCCCCCAGACCAAGCTGCCCCCGCCACAAGATCCCAGTGCCTCTGGAGCAGCCCCCTGCCCTGCCCCGCCATATGCCCTGCCATGACAGCTGGGGTCAATCTCCATGGCAACCCCAGCCTCGTGCTATGACAGTGAAACTAGGGTCTCCATGGAGACCGGCCCCAGCCATGCGGGCTAGGATATCATCCCCTGCCTTGGTGGCTGCCTGCTGTTGGGCCCCCACTCCAATCGTGGAGTGCACATGTAGACACGGTCCCAGGGAAAGCTTACTGCACAGTATTTTATGTGTAGATAGCACATATAGACATGCCTTCTGTGTAGAAGTTGGGGCCAAGCTAAATTTGTCAGAGCACAATTTAACCCTGAGCAACTGCATTGCTAGTCCAAACCCCATCCTGTTCCCAATCTACTGCTCTGCTTTCTGGTTCCCTGTGCTCCCTACTCAATTTACTGTTTTGCTTTCTGCTTCCTGCCCTATCTGCTGTGATGCCTGTCCCTTCTGTGATCTGTCATGTGCCATGCTCAGAGGCTGCCTGTGCCACTTATGGCACCCATGCTGCAGTTTGGCTACCCCTGCTCTGTGGCATGCTGTCATGATGTATTGAACCTGTTTGTATTTAAGAGTAGCTACAACATATCATTTATGTACAGCAGGGACAACCTGGCATTTTTATAAGCTTAAGCCTGATATACCCGTTACTACCTGGTAGACTTTGAAGAGGAGTGGCCATTTAGTCTTTACATACATGTGAGGGTAGAGCATAGAACCCCAGCTGGAACTTCAGAAGAGCAGTTCTGATAATGGTTACTTTAAAAACATCATGGGTAAGGTTTATCTGTGAGGAATCCCAGGAGATGAGGTAGGACTGGCTGTTGGACTTAGTTATAGGGTAAATTTTTTGTTAGGGTAAGATTATATTAACAGCATAATTCCTGGTCTCCTGGCCACTTGTGTACAGGTCTCTTGATCATTTGTGGGTGTGGGTTGAATTAAGGGTAAAACTTGAAAAGACGCATGGACAATCTCAAATAATACTGCTTATGAGATTTGGGTTTCATTCCTAGTTCTGCCAAAACCTTCTGGTATGCTGTAGGCAAGTTATTTAATTCTTTGTCTCAATTTCCCACCTTTAAGATAGGGCTTAAAATGCTTCTTTTCTCTCACACTAAGTATAAGCATATATTATGCATAGTATAACGTGTCCTGATTAAATTGGGTTAAGTAGCTGCTATGGTAATACTAATACTAATAATAATTAATAATAATGATAACCTTAAGCAATTAAAGTGCACTTTTACTTGTAGTTCTACAAGAATAACAACTGCAGGTTCTAAGTTTTCATGTCTGCTATAAGTACATTCAAAACTTTAAAAAATATTGATTAGAGACTTACCTGATAGAATAAAGAACATTTCCATTTTTGAAAATTCGTAATAACTTGTTGTCTGTTGTAACTTCATGAAAGTTGGCACCTTTTTCATTAGCAAAGAACAAATCAGGTTTCCAAATTGAATCCAACATTGAGGGATCTAAGTCTAAGGAGTCATCTGGATATTCACTATATGCAAGACGTGGATCATTCCAGCTCTGACGGAGAAAGATGTTCACTCTATAGTCCTAAAAGAAAGACAGAACAGGAAAAGTTTTATCAGGGAAGCAAAGAGGTTTTGTTTTTTAGTTTTATTTTCCTGTGCAGCTTGAGATAACAAAAGAACCACTTAGTGGAATGCCATCATATTACCTGAAAAGAAATGCAAAACTCTAGAACTCTTGGTTCAGAGATTTTATTAGACCAACTAAGAAATCACAAAAAACATTAAAAAATTTCTTAGTTGGTCTAATAAAAAGTATCATCTCTGAACCAAGAGTTCTAGAGTTTTACATTTCTTTTTGTCTCAGGCCAACACAGCTACCAAATACATCCCTGATCATATTGCCTGTTCTTATTTGTAACTGATTAGTAATGATACAATAGATAATAGTAAAAGCTGATTTCAGGAAAAATCATAACTAGAGCTCTATGAAGGCAATGTTATTCTTTAGATACCCAGTGCACCCTCACTATAAGGAACTCACATGGGGTTGGAAAACAAGGTCCTCAAAAGAGGATGCTTGTTATAAAAAGATTAGTCAATTTGCTGCACCATAATAATGGGGGGAAAAATTCCTTCTGCTGGGATTGTTAAAAGTGTGTGTGTGTACGCGTACACTTCTAACAATCCCAACACAAGGGTTTTTTTTTCATTATTATATATACCTAAGATTATTATTATATATAAGATAAGCATAAGAACCATGGAAACTTAGTTTTTTGTGCTGTTTTATCTTCCAGTTCTAATACAAGGAGTGGGAGAGCAAAATACATATATATGCAGGGTTCTTATAATGGTTGTACTGTATTTCAGAGAGAGAACTGGAACTTTACCTCTATCATGTTGCTCTCCCACGCCTTGTGTTAGAACTGGAAGATAAAACAGCACAAAAATCTAAGTTTCCATGGTTCTAATGTTTATCTTTTGCCATGTGCAGTAATCCCCACCTTCCTATCTACAGATTAAATAGATTCTGTTCCTAAGGAAAAGGGCTCTGATTCAAAACTGAAATATAGTTTACTGGTGATGGCACACATATCTGGGAGACCCTAGGAAAATCTCCTGCTTTGCCACGGGTTTCCTATATGACTTTGAGAAGATGTAGATCAAGTTTTTCAAGTATTTTTATTCACAGTCCTCAAGGCTAGAAACATGTATAAAAACAAAAACTAAGATCTCATCATGTAACACCAAGAACTAGGCCCTGGGACCCTAGAACCTATGCCTTAATCCAACATTGGCTATAAAAATTGTTTTCTCCATTAAAGACAATGCTGTCAGTCACACATTGATGATGGTTCTATAACAACTCTTGCTCACAGCTTTCCCAAGAATAAAACGAGAAAAGGATTATACATTTGACTTGACTTCCATTCCATCACTTTCCAATAACATTGACAGAATTAATGATTTAAAAGTGTAAAATGTTGTTTCTGCCTCTTCTTTACAAAACTACATTATTTTTCTTTGGGTCTGGGATGAACCAGGCTCCACTAAAAATGAGACTATGGTCCAAAACATAGTTTAAATAAGCAAGAAAGCTCTGGTAATTAGCTTGTAAAGATGTCAAAACAGGACATTTGAGCAAAGTGATTGTAGTATATATTTATGTCTTTGACTAAGAAAAGAAGGAAAAATAACTTTAAAAAAGGAATTAATCTAAAGAATAAAGGAATTCACCATCTCCTGAATTTAATTATTAGATCATTTAAATGGCAAAAATATTGTAGACTTATATTTGTTTAAATCATAAAGACAGTTTGGAATAGCTTCAATTTTGCAGAGGCTTATAGCATCTGAACATCTGTTCAAATTCCTGCATTATTTATATTAAATTATTGTAAGTAAAGAAGTTCTTTGGAGTGCTACATAACAGAATATTGTTACTACTGGGAACACTTGTACTACGCACTGGATGCCTCTACATGAGATGATAACTGCACAGTAACCTAATAAGACTGCACAGTAATGTGCTGGGCAAAACCTATGCTAATATGCTATTGTGCAGTAATATTAGGCTACTGTGCAGTTAGCATCACTACAAAGCTGTGCACTGGCACTACTGCATAGTAGCACCAGTTACTAAGCACTATTTCGTACTTGGATATGCAAGTACTAAACTTACTATGCAGTAACTACGGTACATCAATGAATGTATAGACGCACCCAGTATGATTAAGGTTGGTCAAATTTCACTGACAGTGTAAAACATTTATTCCCTAATACCCCCTCCTTATCAAAAGGTTCAGTAATTGCTGCTGTGAAATACTGTTCAGGAGTTTGACTACACTAGAAGAAAAAACTGTGGTTGAGCCTCATGAACTGTGCAACAAATTAGATTTATTTTTTTTCCAGTACGAATATATACCTGTGACATAGCATTTGGGTAGACACACAAAGTAAATTTTCACTAAAACTATATTGTGAGGGCCTACATATTTACACTGACCATGCTACCATTCAAAAATGCTCACTGAATGAGTTGGAGAATGGAGCTCATACATATTTGCATCATGTGTGAAGAAGCCTTTTGTGCCAAAATCAAACCATATTTACACAAATGACCATTTGCCATTGAGTGAAAGGTTGGAGCATTATAGCTTCTTCCTCTGTTTCCATGGTATTTCTAATTCGGGGGAAGTGTTCAGCAAGGATAAAAATGAGAGAAAAGAGTGACAGAATCCCACTTTTTTCTGGCCAGTGTGCAATTCTTTAAAGCAAAGGGAGTTCTCTGGTAGTGCAGAGAATCTGGGAGTATTGCTTTTCCCTCAGAAAAAAAAAAGAAGGTAGAGTGGAATCATGGTCATGACTTGTATACATTCAAGGTGTGGCTACAACAGCTGTGGTTTCCCTGAACCAAAATTCAAGGCCAGTGGCCTGCCTTATGTGTTCATGTAGGGAAGTAAAATAATTAATTGGTTATAGACTACTGTCTAGTATGCTAAATGTCAATTTTCTCAGAAGCTCTCCTAAATCTGTTGATTTAACTTGCTTTTAGCCTTTAACATGAACATAAACTATCTCAGTTGCACTGCAAGAACATTCAGCAGTTACCTTCTTTGAAATACTAAAAATAAAGCTGCCACTCTTTTTCAGATATCAAAAGATGTACTATACAAGAAATGACACTTTCACCTACTGCCACATGAAGGACAAATGAGTGCTCATTGTTCTCAGCTTATAATTACACAGTGTGAGCATAAGGCTTAAAATGCTTTAAATAAGTAGAGTTGTTTTCTGCAAACACAGAGAACAGAATTAAACTGCCAGCATTGATTTGTTTTCCTTTAAGCAGATTACTAAATAACGCTTTTCTGTAGCTCCTAATTTCTGTAACTGATAAAGCACACAAAATTTCTGTCTTGTTATTCCTGCATAGGAACAAATCCTGCTACATTTCCACCACATAAATAACTTGGAACTGGGGTGGTGGGTTTGTGACTTGGTTAGGACTTAACCCCTACATTGCCATGGTCACTGCAGAAACATTACTGGGACTAAGTACAGACAGTCAAAAAAGCCCAAGGATGAATCAGTTCAATCTTTGCAAGTTAGTTTAAACTGCGTAGATTGAACTGATAAGCAAGTGAACAGACATTTACTTTTGATTCTAGAAATGCAGCCACATGCCTGCAGTGGCTCAGGTCAGATGCTGTGGGACTCTAGAGTATGTCTCCCTGCTTGGATGAAGCAGACAGCTTGGGCAAATGTTAACCTGCCCACCCTGGGTGGGGGGAAGTGCAAAGCATCTTGGGATGTTGGGGGCGGTAAGTTAACTTGAATCTGGAGGGGATCTGGGACAGAAATTCAATAAACATATTTAGTCTAAATCAGTTAAGTCTGATACTACATCCACTCAGGTTTGTCTTAAATGGGTTTCGGTCACTTTGAAAATAGCTTATGTTCACTGAGCTTTTGTTGTGCTACAGATTTGGACTGGTTTCTGATCACTTATGCCGGTTTATGTGTAATTTCTCTTCCTAGCCTGGAAGTTCCTTGTTAATGCAGCCTTTTCCCTTAGACATGGGTGAATCTAGCACAGGGGTGTGGTTATGCCCTCTTTGGCTGTGTGGAACATGCACAGCAAAGAGATCTCATTGTAAACTGTCACACAGTCAAAGGGATTCACCAGCGCATCAGCATAGCTCCTACTGGGAGGTTCACATGTGCTGTGATTCTATGAGTTCGCTGGTGAAGGGTCTGTCCAGAGTCCCTGCTTTCAGCTCCAGTGCGCTCCTGCTCTTTGCTTCTCCTGCCTCCCCTCCTCCTCCTGCCTCCCCCAGATGCAGCATCAAGGGAAAAGAGGGAACAAGCTTCTGGTGGTACACAGCCCCTGGGCTCCATGAAAGCAGAGGCTGATCTTCACTGCCACCACAGAGGCAATGGGGAAAGGGAGGGGAAGACCAGACAGCGGCAGGTTCTGGAGATGTCCAAAAGCAGGGGCTCTAGACAGACCCCATGCTGGTGAGCAGGAGCTCCCAAGCTTACCACCTCACCTCTGTTGTAGGTGGGCTCTCTGGAGATACACCTCACAGTCAAACAAGGAAAGTGGGGTGGGATGTGCTGTCTAAGTTGTGACGAACCTGAGACAATCTATGTGAATGTATTATTACATGTTGTATTAACAATTGCTGTTAGGAAAATGTACCATGCTCAACCTTTCTAAAGTCATTTTGCTTCTGATCCATTATGCTGATGTATCCAATGATACATTTTCACAGTATGCCAGAATATTGACTGCCTCACTGGAACTTGTGCCCGGATCCTCAGTGGAATTTAGATGCCATTGAAATCGTGGGAAGTTAGGCATCTAAATAAGTGTTAGGTGTCTCAATACTTTCAGGATTTAGGCTTTGGCATTTTATAATTATTTCCACATCCAATAGTGTGCTTAGTTCTTAATTACCCTTTGAAAAATGCAGGTATACATGAGGCACACTATTTTCTCTTGATTAATAGGTTGTTCTAACTACAACTCTAATTTACTGAACAGGCACATTTTCAGGAGTATGTCTATTTGCATCT